CCATTCGGGAAGTCAGAGGTGTAATTCGATTCCTTAGCTTTGAAGCTTTTTTTCTGGATAAAAAACACCTGGAGAATCTGTGTGCTGTGACGCTGTCTCTGACTCAGTCCAGGTTGGCCCTGACAGGCTGAGTCAAAGCCTCCAAAATGACATGGATTATGTCGATGAATAACACCCCCCTCCCCCCCCCTCCCACTGAAAATGTAATAGAGGGTGTTTTTTTCACATATAAACGTACACATAAGCCGTAGTAGGAAGAAAGGGAAAGGGAAACGTCGGACTGGAGGGTGAGTGGGATGGAAGAACCTTCAGTTGGATACTTTTTAGTTGCTTTTTTCTCAGCGGAAAGGAAAACAATGCTACTGGTACCCACTCTTCTAAAGATTAACATTACACTTGTTGCAAGTTCCAAATCTAAGACAATCAGACTTAAGTATAACAGTTATCACCACAACCCCCCCCTTTCAACAACAACACAAAACACAATAACAAAACACTCAGGTATTAAACATCGTACCCGGAACAAGTTCGTGGAAAAAAACAACAACCACCCAGCAACAACTCACCAACATGTTGCTACTATGACACCCTCTACCAACCACACCCCCTCAGAATCTTCTCATGTCGCGCAGTAAGTTCTTACACAAGCTCACACAAGTATGACAACCATTGCCCCGCCCCCTTCCCCTTAGATCAACATTGTACAAGGAATGAAGGCCCAGTAAAGGCACACAAAAACATTTTCTAGATCTAGTATATCGCACACCCCACTCCACCCCCTGCCTTCAATATTATCACTACTCACTTCTAACTAGGTTCTCATACACCAAGTACACACAAGTATTAGATCGACTTCTTCTACCCACACCCCCTTCCCTTTTCCAAGACTTTCTATCATCGTAGCCTACTTGGCACCAGATCATAGATCTAGTGGCACCAGGTCATAGTATAAGCTGTAGACATCTACAAGGATCACTGTAATCTAGGAGCAAACAACACACAACACACGCATCAAGTATCAAGGGAAGGTTTACGGGTCTATCGAAAACCACTGGACCACTGCACTGCACTGCACTGCACACCTCGGACGCGCTACGGGTTGTGGTCTGGAAAGGGGAGCCAAAAAGTGATTCAAACGGGACAAAAAGGTGAAATAAACGCCAAAATAACGCCAAAACACGGGTGAAGAAAACGCCAAAGTAAGGTTATCACACGGGTGAAGGAAACGGCAAAAATAACGTCACAACACGGGTGAAGAAAACAACGGCGTTCAGGG